ACGTCAAGATGGCGGTTGATCTTTGCAGTTGATTTCCAAGTCTCCGCTGCATACAGTGCCGTCGGTATAACGATGGTCTTCAGGAGCCGCAACTTGGTTGATAAAGGCAGTGCGGTGGTCATCCATATAGGTCGTAATCGTTGAAAGGCTGCCCATGCTGTCCTAATTCTGCACTTAACGTCATGCTCCACGTCACTGCTAAAAGTGCAACACACTTATGACGTCCCTTATATTTAACTGGGGTTTTAGGTTTTTTTGAGCCAGCTAAAGCAATAAAGGCCTGGATTTGTTGAACTTCATTGACACTATAAGCCTCAGGTTATAAACTCTTCTTTTAAAAAAACATTCCCAAAATGTTGCATGGTAATAGTTTGAAAAGATTCTCAATGCAAGGTTTTGGAAACAATTTCAGATGTCTCATGGCCTTTTAAACCCTCTAAGGTCTAAATTATTGGTGGTAACTTTAACTCTGAATGTTGGATAAAGACCAAATGGACCATTTTGGAAAAATCTACAAAGATAACTAAAAAACAAAACCAAATTCTGATTGCATAGGGTCGTCAAAACTCCGCTTTACAGGAATATTATTATAAACGAGAAGATCCTTCAAGAACTTTTTGATTTTTGCATCAAATAACCCTGAAAATATCCAAGAAAACACTTTAAAACAAATATTCAATGACAATCGAACAAAGGTAACAAAAAGACGTGTCAGGTCCTTCTTCTAGAATTAGAAACAGGAACAGGGAACAGGTGGAGTAAGATCTGATGACAAGTACAAAAGAGAGAACTTGGTTACTCGGAGACACAGAAACAGAGAAGAAGACACAAGATGCAGAAAGAAAAGCATTTACCGATCTAAAACAGGAAGTGGGCAAATGGAAGAAGATGCAACACGGATGTAGACAGAAGGGGACAAAGAAAGCAACAGAGATGACACTGAGCATATATTGGAAAAAAAAAAAAACCCACAAGAAACCAAAAAGTTGGTAAAAATTAAAACTTAGCAAATCCTCCACAAGAAGCGGGCACCATGAACCAGGAAGGGGAATAAAAAGGCACCAGTTACCAAAATAGCCGTGAACGACTTCATCCTACCCTCATTTCATAAAGACCCTTTGCCTTTTTGATGTAACACTACTGAAAAATGTTTCCTAAACACAGTAAAACTTTTTACATTCCTACCATCTGGCAGAACTCTCCTAGTCAGATCTCTCCAGATGGAGGTTTGCGTCTAACGTCTGTCTGTTCGGGGTCGTTGACACGAAGCCCTGCAGGATCTTCTGTTCGCCAAGTGTGAAATCTGAAGGAACAACATGTCCAAAGGAGCGTCTGCATCATTGTTGGGAACAACATGTTTACTTGTTCCTGTCATCGCAGTGAGGGGGAAAATCATGATTTCAGTTTGCAACCTTCAGCAGCTGCAGGAATGAGCGTGGGATCGATGTGCTGGAGCTTTCACAGAAAAAATAAAGTTTTTAATGTGAGCTATAACAGATGATAAACTGTTAAAATTATAGTTTCCAAAAAAACTAATCGTGTACTGAGAGAAGTTCATCCACAGAAACCCCAATCACTCAGTTACAGTAATGTGTTTATATGTTTATATAAAAAGGTTTAAACTCATTATTTTTAAGTTATATTTCCATGTCAAATGCCTCCCATCGACCATCAGAGACAATCCTGGAAAAACCTAGAGGGAAGACTTTATTTATTTATTGGCCATTTTAACACTGAATTATCTACAAATCTGCTTTTAGGTCCTTTGGATGTTTTAGGGTATATTTCTGGTACTGTGGCTCTGTGCGGCTTTTATTACCGCTAATCATTTATTTAAACTCAGTTTTTAAAACCTTAGGATGTAACTACAGCCCAGCCCCTGCAGTAGTATATGAATGACTAACCTCGTATTGTGGATGGATTATCTCAGTTGTTCTCCTGGCTGAAGTTTGGTCCGTTTACAGCATCCTGCCATGCGATTACATTTGTTCCTGACCACCGAGAACACTCACGTTAACTTTTATCAAGTGGAAAAAAAGTTAGCTTGTTTATATTATGCTAACATAGCTGTGTCGCTAGCGGTCACGTAGCACATCATTATATACCAGCTAGCCAAACTTCAGTAACCCTACAAACGTCACTGCTGTTTAGTTTTCTGTCTTCATTTATGTTGGAAGTGATAACAGAGCTGTACGTTTGAATTTGTTTCCAAAACCCCACAGTCAGGACATGCTATATTGTATTTAGATAGAAGCTAGCGAGCTAACTTCCTGCTAACTTCTAACTCTGTTAAATGTCATAAATTCCGTTTTCATGGATGCCTGGATGTTAAACTCAATTGTTACACCTGGTAGAGCAGAACACTGATCATTTTATTAAAGATGAAAGACTTTAGACAGTGTTTCAACTCTCAGTAATGCCACAGTGATCGTTTGATATATGGACCTGCAGCGGAGTTTAGGCCCAGATACGGCTAGTGCCGTCAGACTTAACGACCGGATAGCTCCTTGGTTCACAGTAGCATCGCTCAGCTAACATGCTAACAGCACGCTGTGAGTTACTCACCCCCTCCCTCCTGGCTCGCAGCTTCTTCTTCTTCTTGGTTGGCAACCAATGTTAAGGCGCATTACCGCCCCCTGGCTCACAGCTCAAAGGACATTTAAATATATATAAAAATATATATTCGACACATTTGAGGAAAATACAAATAAAAGAAAATAAATAAAATAAATGTTTTTTTGCTCTTTTTTGATCTATAAAAACAGTTGTTTTTCTTTTTCAATCACTCAGCAGTAGGATTTACATGAAAAGAGAAATAAATTAAGTTTGAGTGAAAATGTACATTTTTTGCACTCTCTGGGCAACTGACTCAGTGACTCAAATGACTCAAAAAACCCGATTCACTTTGGTGAGTGACTCATTCAAACTCGATTCAGTAAAAAGAATCGAATCACTACACCGTGTGCCAAATCCAGATGAACTTTTGTGTTAATATTAAATTTGTGACGTTCTCATTTTTTTTAAATACTCATGTAGAAAGTCACCAGAATTTAAACATTTTTCATGTTTATCGCTGAGGTGCTTTTGAAGGTCTGTTACAGTCTTCTGATTAACACTGAAGTAATAAATAATAAATTTGACGTGTTTATTCGACTCCCAGGGATCCTGTCTCGTTCTGCATATCTCACCTCTGTGAAAGTTTTCTTCTCTGAAGTGTGAAACTGATACTTGGACCCCCGATGTTGGTGTTATATCCTGCATGAACAGCTGACATTTATAACGGCCCAGCCTCAGTGCTGTTTTTCCTGCTCTCGGTTCTCACTGTGTGGAAAATGTTGCCTGATTTTGTCCTGACGAGGCCTCCCGTGTGTCTTTGCAGGGCGGCGTGAGGCCGAGGAGTCCAGCTGTGATCTGAAGGGGAAGAAATCTGAGGACCCCCGGCTCCGAAGGGACCAGCTGTTTGACTTCACGTGAACAAAGACACTGCCGCGTTTCTTTTTAGTGCTTCTGACCGGATGTTGCCTCGGTTCGGAAAACGTTCTCCGTTTGGTTTAGTTCTAGAATCGGCTTCAAAATGTGACAATGACGGAACCGTTACAACTTTATCCTCCAGCAGGAACGAAGCAGAAGCTTCCTGAGAGGGTGGATTATTGAAAGCAGGCTGCTCGAGCCTTTCGGAGAATTTAAATGGAGGTTTGCTGCAGTGGAAACACCGGGGAGTTCATCTGTAGTCATTTGGAATAACAGTGTGTGACTGTGTGGGATCCACACAGATTTCCATCTAAATGAGGCGTATTTCAGGCAGCAGAGGGTTATCATCTGAAACATCTGGACGGATGGAGGAGACTCACAAACAGAGACGAAGGCGGTTTTGATTACTGATGTTTATGTTCAGTATTTTTATTTTTTAAAGCACAAAGATTTATTTATACTTTTTTTTTAATGACTTTGGTGCTGATGCAGAACAAAAATCTAAATTTTCCGCCTGCTTTCTTCAGTTTCTCTGATTTATTTTATCTCTAAGTGATCTTGTGTAATTAGGACACTAATGTGTGCGATTATACGTCTCATTGTCGAAGCTTTTATCACCTGCCAGCCTTTTATAAGCGCAACGAGCGCGGCTAAATATTGAGCCATGTGACTGCTGTGTTTGAGAAAAGCTTCAGTTTTACTGAATTTTACTGGATTTTTCTTTTTTATCTTTTTTCCTCCCATGATTTGTAACTTCTTCAGGCAGGAGCTTGAAGGGTCTTGACACACTTTTCTTTAACATTTAAATAAGAAACTTTAAGCCACCTGATGTTTGGCGAAGGATTGTGACTCGACCCGTGTTTAAGTCGCTCTGTTTAAGTTTCAAGACGACCGCTGAACTCGCCCATCTGAAATCCTCTCTTCCTGTCTTGGGGGGAACTCGCTGCGCATCCCGTCACCGCCATGGTGATGTCGCAGGGCACTTACACCTTCCTGGCCTGTTTTGCTGGCTTCTGGTTGGTCTGGGCCCTCGTCGTCATGCTTTGCTGTTTCTGCAGCTTCCTGCAGCGCCGGCTGAAGCGCCGGCGCGAGGAGAGGCTGAGGGAGCAGTGTCTGCGTGCTGTAGAGATGGAGCCACTCAGCTGCCACCCCGCCGGATACCCACCTGCTGCTCCTCCACCACCGCCGCCGCAACAGCCTCCACAGCTGCCCAGAGAGCCGCCACAGTTCAGCCCTCCTCAGACTCTGTCGCCTCCTCTTCCGCTTCCTGTTCCCCATCCATTGCCTCAAGCGACCTGGGTCAGCATGCCAGGTAATCATTTTATTTCACAGGTGACAAAACGCTCGCGAGCTAAGACGCAACCTCAGGTTTCAAAAACTGCACTTCCTCTAACGGCCACTTAGAGCAAAAGTGAGTTGATCTCCATAAAACCTCCGTGTTAGAAATCCTTAATTCACAGCCACAAACAGAAGTTTGTCTCTGTCGCTGCCTCCTCGGCTGAACCTCTGACTGTGTTTGTGATCTTGGTCTTTTCTGTAGTTTTCAGTGGTATTGAACAAATAATATGGAGTTTGGTGACATCCTAGTATTTAATCAGCTGTTAAACAAAGAGTTCATGGATGTAATTCAGTCTTCCGACTTCTCCACGCACACTGTCACAGCTTTATGAACTCTGGATCTGAAGTTGTCAGTGCGACTGAGACTTGCAGCAGAAACTTGCTTCACATTTATGAGAACTAATTTTAAATTGTACATCATTGAAATTAAAGTTTAGAAAATATTTAGTGCTGTCAGCGTTAATCGTGGCGCTGCACAGGGTCAACACGTTAGCGCGGTTAGCTCCTTAGCGCGGTTAGCTCCTTAGCGCAGTTAGCTCCTTAACGCGTTAGCGCCGTCCAGCCCCACACACGCAGCGATCCTCGTTAACTCGCTAACGGAGATTTGCAGCAGAAACTTGCTTCACATTTATGAGAACTAATTTTAATTGTACATCATTGAAATTAAAGTTTAGAAAATATTTAGTGCTGTCAGCGTTAATCGTGGGGCTGCTCAGGGTCAACACGTTAGCGCGGTTAGCTCCTTAGCGCGGTTAGCTCCTTAGCGCGGTTAGCTCCTTAACGCGTTAGTGCCATCCAGCCCCACGCACGCAGCGATCCTCGTTAACTCGCTAACGGAGATTTGCTGCGTTAATGCGGTTATGGCGTTAACGTCATTTTAACGAGATTAACGCTGACAGCACAAAAAGTTATTTGTGCAATAGATTACACAATTAATGGGGACATGAAGTATGGAAAAGGCAGTTATAGGCTACGTTCACTCTGCAGGTCTTGATGCTCAAATCAGGTTTTTTGATCAGATCCGATTTTTTTGTCTGCTCGTTCACACTACAAATAAAATGCGACAGCAAACGCGCTCCAGTGTGAACGCTCAAAGCGGCCGCATGCGCAAAAGAAGACGTCACACACAAGGCGCTCTGTTTAGACCCAGACCAACAATATTGTTTGACTGATGGACCTTAATATAAAGACTTCGGACTTTACGTTTCCCAATTTTTGCTTTAAGTTATTTTGTTATTTACATAATAATGTAAATAACCTAATAATGATCCTTATTGCTGTTTTAGAGGAGCGCTGCTTCAAAGGATAGCTGCAGATTTCTGTCAGAATCTGCAGATTATACAGTACAAATAAAATGTTCACGTTTCTCCAACGTTGTCTTCCCAACAGTTTCACTGGATGGACAGGAAGCGTTCGCGACGTCTTCTCCGGCGCTGATAATTGGCGTCTGTCTTGTGTCGGTGACGTAAAAGACGGATTTAATGCGACATGACCATCAAACAGCAGTCGCTTTCTAAAACATCGGATATGTATCGGATTCAGTACCACATACGAAAGTGACCCAGATCGGATTTGAAAATATCGGATTTGTGCCGTTCACACTGTCACACCATGATCGGATATGGGTCGCATAGGGTCAAAAAAATCTGATTTGATGCGCTTTCGCCTGCAGTGTGAACGTAGCCTTAGTGAGCTAAGCATGAGAAGTTCAATGAGCATATTGTGTTGAACATTTTATAAGTGCAGTACAAATTTAAGAAAAAATGGACTTGAGGTAATCCTGCCGCAGCTTCACGATCCACAAGGCTCGTGACTGCACCGTGTTCGTGATTTGGACATTTTACTCTCAGCCATCAGACGTCCTCACAGGAATAACCTGAAAAATCCAGCTTCAAGCTCTTCAGATCCAGAACTGAGTTTCCACGGAGAGCAGAGCTGCAGTCAGCATTCATAACACCTCCTCTTGCATTTATTAGTCTGTTCTGTAAACTTGACTCACTTTCTGAAGCAGAACTCGTCTCTGCTGCTGAGCAAATAACCAAACCTGTCACGCCGTGTTTGATCTGTATTTACAAGCCGTTTTTCATCCTTACGCCTCGTGGTTTGAGCTCAGCTCAACAGCAAACACAAAACTGATGCGATGCAGACAGAGAAGCAAAGTGCAGCAGCATTTCTTATAGTTCCCAGTTTAGTTCCCAGCTTCCACCTCCCTCCCTCCATGCTGGCCAGCGTTCCCCCGCATGGTGTCATGGTGACAGCTGCCGCTGAGGCGTAGGCAACAGCCGCGGAGGCCGTGCGGTGACGGAGTAGGTAACAATAAAATAAGAGTGATTAGAAGGAGGAGACACTCAGAGGCCGAGAGGTGCAGCTTTGCAAAGAATCACCGAGACTGTGCAACTCCCCGTTCCTAATGAAACTGCCTCGCACGGATTAAACTCCGAACAGGAAAAATGTTGCTCAGGTCTTAATAAACCCACATAGTACATGTCATTTGCAGTATGTGAGTGAGTATATTTCTGTCCTCTCGCTGTACCCGAGAAGCATTTCACGAGTCGCAGCTCAAAGTAATACTGTGCAGGCTAAACACACGTACACGGGTGTTTCCACTGAAGACTGAGCTTTAAAAACTGCTGTGCAGGTGAAGATGTTAGAAAACTGTTTCTGCGTTTACATGCAGACAAGAAAAACTGAGACTTTGATGTCAAAATCTAACATTGGGGTTGAAGCGTCACCGCTAGCTTTGGTGTTGACAGATTATTTTGTTTTCACACTGACATGTTTTCTAAAAAAATAAAAATAAAAAATCTGCTTATGACCCTCATAAGCAGAAATTTAGACCAGCAGAGGGGTGTGGCCTCTGTGCCTGATATAACCATATAAGGACTATTCACTCTGTGACATCATGCAGATCCAAGAGATGAAAAAAGGCTGAAAAGTGTTCCCTGTTCTCCCTGTGGTTGCTTCCCAGGTTTTCTCTCGATGATGTGAATTTAACTTCCAGTTAAAATGAATATTTTTAAAATTATTTTTTTTATTTTGGTGTCATGGTTGTGTTTTTTCTAAAGCAGGAAAATCTCAATGATCTATGGAGTGAAAACAATGCGCGTAATGAGCAGCTTGCTTTATGACGGAGGAACAAAACGAACAAGCATCTACAGAAGAATAGGAGTTAAAGGGGTAAAAGAGCATCAGCTGCTCTCAAAGACGATTAATGAGCGGAGACAGACAGTACAGGATGAAACAAAAGATCGCTGGAGTCTTGGCCTCAAAGCAGACTGATGAAGAGGTTTAGTATCCAGGCAGCAGCAGAGCTGAAAGCGAAGCAGGTGCTCGGCAGCTGAGACCCGAGAGGAGCTGTTTCAGTCGACTTCAGCAGCAGAGGAGGTGGTAAAAGCAGGTTTTACAGCAAAGTGGAAAGAAGCTTTTTTTAGCCTCTTTCAGCAAACAGTTTCGGTCCATTTGCAGCTCTGTGTGAAGCAGCTGCTGATAGCGTTACTGGGTATCTGCTAAAAACACAGAAGATGAGACTATTGGAGAGAAAAGCGAGCGGTGTTCTTAAAATCAGCTGTTATTAATGTGTTTGTGCAGGTGGAGGAGACTCATAATGAAAACCAGTTACAGAAAGAGGTGCTTATGATGTTCTAGTAACAGCCTTCAAAGAAACTTCACTCCCTGACTTTCAGTTTTGTTAATAAAAATTTGGCCTTTTTCCTGCTGCGTTTAGCAGGATTCCTCTCAATCACCAGTTTTCCTTCTAAATGCACCATTTCTCCTCTTGGATTTGACAGTTTTCCTCACAGAATAAGCACTTTCTTCTTGGATTTGCAGATCTTCTCCATTCTTGTAGCTTCCCCAGTGTTTGTCTTGCAAATTTAACAATTTGTTTCCCTTTAAAATCGTGTTTATTCATCCTTCAATTTAGCTGGTTGATCCTTTATGAATTTACTATTTTATCACTTAAATTTTTTTTCATCATAAATTTGTGGTTTTTCTTCGTAAATTTAACACTTCCTTGTAAATTTTGCAGTATTTGATCAGAAATTTTTGACCTTTTTTTTTTTTTTTTAAAGGTGTTGTTGTTTTTCCCCATCATAAATTGCTCCTTTTCTTTTTTCCCCCTTAAACATTTGTTGTTTCCCATCACCTGTAAAAGGCTGATGGGGTTCAGTCGTCACCCTGCCGAGCGGGCGCTGTGAGCAGATTGTCAAAATGATAACTGAAGAACGAGGTCACGCGGGGTTTTTAAATTGATACCATAGATGCATCTACTAACAATCTCAGATGACTTTGAATCCCAGTAGCTTAAAGGTCAGAGGTCAAAGGATTTTCACATTGACTAGTTTTTTTTCTTGCATTTTCTTCAGATTTTGTCTTTAAATCTTTTTTTCCTTTGAAAATGTTTTTTTCCTTTTAAGTTTTGGTTCATAAATTTAACATGTTCTAGTTTTGGTCTTGTAAATGTGTCAGTTCATTCATTGATGGCGACAGTAACTCTAAGCTGTCTGTGGTTGTCGTCATAGTAATGATGTAGAGCAGCGGTCTCCAACCTTTTTTGCGCCACGGACCGGTTTATGCCCGACAATATTTTCATGGACCGGCCTTTAAGGTGTCGCGGATAAATACAACAAAATAAAACTAGT